TTCTTTTTCCTTTACTAACGAAACAATAACTAGTTGCACTTGTTAGGCGCGTCTCTCTCTCTCTCTCTCTCTCCTCCTCTCTCTCTCTCTCTCTCACACACACACACACACACACACACAAATACATGTCAAAAGTCGGCTCTCCTACTGCTACCAGACCCAAGCAAATTCAGTTCTCTGGCTTTTCACATGGCACACAATATAAGAATTAATAATTACAGAAATGTTAAACAAAGCAACAACCACTAGAAAAGGGGAAAGGAGGGAGGGAGGGAGGAATCCTCACTAGAGGAAGGGTTAACATGAGCATTTCTGAAGCCTGTGGGAGAAGCAGTGCAGGGAGGCTGTGCACCACCTCAGGAGAGCACTGGGACAAGAGAGAGGTCGAGGCAAAAAGAAAGTCCAAGGAGATGGAGCCAGAGAGACCCTGCCCCCAATCCCCACCCCCAGTGCTGGAGCACCTGCCTCTACTGAGGCCTGGGGGGGGGTTGCTGAGCACTAGGGGCAGAGGAGGGTCTGGGCTTGTGGTTAAAGATGCTACTTTTTCAAGGGGTGTCTGCCTCCCCATGTGGTCTGCCTTGACACACCCCAGAGGGCAAGAGTGTAAGCTGGGGCACACCATAGCCCTTCTGAGGCCCCAGAAAATGACCTGGCTTGCAACTTCTGACTCACATGTGCTAAGCATTTGGAGGACAAGGGCTCAGCTGGTTCAGGGCAGAATTAGCTGCAGATCTATTTCCCTCATGCTTTCCCCAACCTGACCCTGTAAGTGGGGAAGGCCAGGTAGGGCCTGTGTCCCCTGTGGACTTACCTTGCTCTGTGGTTGAGGGCCTGGCTTACTGCTGCTTGGAGGGGCCGTGGCAGAAGCAGACAGGAACATGCTTCGGAACAGCCTGCGCTTCAGGCTGTTCTCCTGGCTCTTAGGGCTGGGGCTGCCCTCCCCACCCGGCCTGCCTGTGGCCGAGCCCACCAGGCAGGACTGTGGCCGGGCCTCCTCGGAGCCATGCCTCACAGTCTTGGTCCCACGCCTGCCCGTGGCTGTGGGTGGGGAGGTGCCAGGTGGGGATCTCTGCAGGCAGGTTCCCAGCTGCAGGCAGCGCTGTGTGGCACCCTGGAACTCGGTGGGGCCCAGGGACTGTGCCTTGGTGGCCAGCCCATTGGGCAGGACCCGTGGGCTCTGCGGCTCGGGCCATGGCACCTGCCTGTGGCCTGCTGGTGCGCCCCCATTGCAGCTGAGGTAGAGGCCGTGGGGGTCAGTGCGCTCAGACTTGGGGCTCTGCAGGTACATGTCCGGGTCTGCAGCCCACTGCTCATCCCCCAGCAGCCCCAAGGACTGTGCCCGCCGCCGGCTGGTGGGGCTGCGGCCGCGCAGGGTGTTGGAGCTGATGACCGACAACTTCTGGATGTCATTGAGCAGCCCCGAGATGTAGCCATCCGTGGGCGCCGCGCTGCCACGCACCACTGTCTGCAGGGGAGGGAGAGGGAGAGGCACGGTGAGCAGCCTGTTCGTGGCAGGGAGGGGTGGCTGGGTCTGGACCAGGTCAGAGAGCCTCCCCAGGGGCCTTGGGGAGGAACACCTAGGACCTTGCTTGCTGTGTCTTTCAGCTATTTCTTAATTTTTTAGTCCCTTACAGGGCCCACAGTGGGCCAGGCCTGCGCTGGGGTAGGGACACAGTGATAAAGCCCATTTTCAGGGTGCTCGTAGTCCAGCAGGGCAGACAGGTGAGTAACCATGGCGTTCAATCCAGGACACCAAATGGTCTGGGCAGCTGAACTTGGGGATCTGTGGGGAGGGGGAGCTCCAGGCCCCGCCTGGGACCCACCGCCGTTCCCCAGCTCTGTCTGCGGCCTTCTGGAAAGCATGCAGAGCTGAAGAGACAGGCACCTGTCCAGGCCCCTCCCCACATACACTGGATTTGTGGCCTCCAAACCCTAACAGGGCCCTGACCCCAACCCCTATCAGACTCTCGGATCAACCTGTCCTGACTCACACAACTTAAGCCCCCTGTTCTGTGAGAGCCCGCAGCCCCACAGTGGCTACAGGTCCAAATATTTCATGGGACGTACTTAAAGATTCTTTGTTGTTATCTGAAACTCAAATTTTATTGGGCATCCTGTATTTTTACTTACTAAATCTGGCAACCCTACCACCCTGCAGAGAGGGACTCCCCAGGCTCCTCCCTGGGTCATCCAGAGAGAGAACAAGGTGCTGATTAGCAGGGAATGAAACAGCCTGGCTAATTGATAGCTGGTAATTAGGTGGTTCTTCAGGTGCCTGTGTGGTTCTGCCAGCAATCTTCTGTGGATGGTCTGAATCCTCCCACTCCACCATCTCTGCTGCCCACCTTACCTTCATGGGCTGAAGCTGCACCCGGGTGATGCGTGAAGGGTCTACCACGGGCTTGGGTCGCCGCAGTGTGTCCAGGATGTTCTGCCATTGTGGGGGGAGGCCCACGAACTTGCCTTCTTTGGGGTCAAAGGAGGTGTGGACGCGATGTTGGAAGTTCTGTGGGGCCGAGATCTCAGGGCGTTTCTTTTTTTTCTTGCGGAACATGGTGCCTGCGTGGGGAGGGTCAAACTGAGCTCCAGCTGGGGCTTCCCAAGAGCCTGGCCCCAGGAAGCACAGCTAGCAGCAGTGGATGTTGGGGCCCCGGGCTCTGTCCCCTGACACAACTACCCTGGACCGGCTGACAGCTTCCCCTCCCCTCTCGTGCCTAGTTTCTCAGGGAAATGGCTAACTCCCAGCAGAGTGGTCCCAGAAACAACAAAAGCCTCATAAGTAAGCCAATCCAGACCATAAATAAGGAAAAGAAGTGTGTGTCTTCTTGTCTGAGCCAAGTCCCCTGCTGAGCAGGCAGACTCGAAGTAGGGGGGTGGGGAGTGTGCGCTTTCATAGGATGCAAAGCCCATGATAAATATCATTCTACGTCAAAGAATTAAAAAGAGGGTGGGGAAGAGGGAGGAAAGCAGGCAAACTCATTTTATGGAGTATGATCTTGATTCTTAAACCAGATAAGAATAGTACAAGGAAAGGAAAATATGAATCAATTTCACTTAGGAACATAAATGAAAATCCTAAACAAAACTAGCAAATTGAATCCAACTGTACATTAAAGGTTTTGTGTGTTTGTTTTTTATTTTCACAGTCAACTCCAGTTTGTCCCAGGGGGTTTCAAAAACAGAAAACCTATTCATGTGATATACGACTTCATAAAAAGCCAGGCTGATGATTCATAGACATATTGCCCAGTCTGGGACCAAACTAAAAGGGCCCTCGTGGTCCCCAGGTGCTCGGCCCTAATTCTGGAAAGGCTCTGGGCCAGAGGCACAGCTGCGGTGGGTGAGGGCAGCTATCTTAGGGGAAAATCTCTCCAAAAATAGAAAGCTCATCTCCCCCTAGGCCCCTTTCTCTGTGGTCTCAGAACTGACTGTACAAAACATCACTTGCAGTTAAGCAGTTAAACCTCTATCCCTCGCCTTGCTGGTTTTGGGTTTGCCTAAGGCCCTACTAAGCTCCATCTACAGCTAGCAGTGACATGGCCATGCAGATCTGAGAGAGGAAGACTGGAAACCCAGGAGGCAAAGTGACTCTTCCAAACTGCTGTTCTGGCCTCGACTTCAAGGAGCCCTGGGCTGGGACCACATGTGATGGAAGATGGGTTGGGGTACCCACTTGAATGCTTTTGTATCTGAAGTGGCTCAAAACAGCTCA